TGGTTAATATAATTCTTCTTTTTTAGTTGTTTCAGGGATTTCAAATCATTTTATATAGTAGACAATGGAAGTCCGAACTAGTGAAATTCATCATGAAACATTGTCAATCACCTTCATTCAAAAAAGCTGTTTTGTTAGCGTTCACTATGTGTTGATCGCTTCTACACCAAGTAGCAAATCTTTCACATGTTGCATTCAGTTTCAATTGGAGTTTGGGGCCATTAATAATTATGAAGAAGAAAGATGAAGGTCACAAGACCAACCCCTGATGAACTTCAATATCAACAAATTCGTTTAACTTGTTAATGCATGTTGAATCACCTACTCGATTATCCTGCTATTCTTCCACTCTGATAGATTACTTGTGCACCACTTTCAATGAGCTCGACATAGTTCATACTGTTACTTCATGCAATCTTTCTGATCATGATGCCATTCTGGGTTGTTTGGAAATGAACACAAGAAATAAAAATATCAACATATAGTTTGGTCGACTTTTCAGTAAAACAAATTATAGAAAATTTTACACTTTCTGCTCTAATTTCAAATGAGAGGGAGTTTTCATATACGAAGTTTCTTTCGAAATCTATTACAAAAAATTATGTGAATTTTTCGAAATAGCATTTCCAAAAATTAAAAAAAAGAAAACCTTAGATCACCACAAAAATTAAAATTTCTTCAAAAAATATACCTTTACTTCCCCGCCTCACCACAATAATACTAGACAAGCTAGCCAATTAAAGGTTCCTATCCCAACAAGTAGTCAAATCAAGAACTCAATTATATAGAATGGAGTGAAAATGTATAACAAGTTACCTAAAAGTTCAACAGAATGTGTCACGCTACTATCCTTTAGGAGAAACTTGAAGACAATTCTGGTCAAAAAGACTTACTATACATTAAATTAATTTTTTGAGGATAACCTCGGCACATAATAATATTCATGTGTATGTATGTATGTATGTATATATGTTTGTATATGTATGTATACAGGGTATTCCATATTCGATGGTCTATTAGACGTATCTAGAGAACAAAAAAAGATGAGAGTTTTAAATTTTGGTTACCGATGTAAATGAAACATGTTCTATACTTATCTCTCAACGTTTTCAAAATATTAATTATTTTGTAATTTTTTTTAGCGAAAACATGGTATTTTTAATATTTAATATCGCATGAATTAACTGATACATTGAACTCAACTTCTGGCAATTTCGAGATAAGATATGGTGGTTGTTATTTCAGAATGGAACTCAAATCTTATTCTATACAGAATGCCTGAAAAATACGTCTCAATTTGTATCTTCGATAAACGACCTTACCTAATTTTTTTTCAAATGGAACACCCTGTATATTATTCAATTTTCAAATTCAGTCATCTAATATGAACATCTTTTATTAACTATGTCCTATAACTATCTCTGACCGTTTATGAGATATGAATTCTTCTATAATTTTTTTCTTCTATACAAATATAACATTTCAAATACAAAATTCGGGGATAAATGTATTATTGAACATATTGAATAATGAATAATGACTTTACATTAGTTCAGAAAGATTTATTGAAATACATGATTGAAATTTCATTGTGGGTATATGACAAACACTATTTCAACACAAGAACGAACACTTTTCAAAATTAAATTGATAACAAAAAAAATCTACACTAGAAAACAACAGATATTGTGAAACACATGTGCAATGTCTAAGAGCTCGATTCAACTAATACCAACAATTCCGAGACAAGTTCAGGGGCAAATTATCCAGAAAATACTCACAGTCGATCTCAGAATATAAAAATATTTTTCGGAATTCAACATAAATGCAAATAAAAATTTTATCATCCATGAGCATACAAAAAACATTAATACTGAATTTTTGTTGGAATCACCTTCGCTCAGAAGTGATTATTTCGACAATTGAATATTCCCTCACGTTAAAATTGTGATTCATCAGTCCATATCATTTTTTTCAAAAAGTTTGGATCTTCGTATGTCCATGTTAGTGCCATTTCGCAAATTCTACTCTTTTTGGTGGATCATCTTTATGCAAAGCTTGCAGCCTAATTAATTTATAATCGTGCATATTATGTTTTTGTAAAATTCTCCATATAGAAATTCGAGATATTCCCAAATCAACCGCAGCACTAGATACTGATGCATGAGGATAAGCATAAAAATATCCTAAAATATTCATTTAATTTTCCATATCACTAGTCACTGGACTCACTACTTCAATATGACAGTTGGGCAGTTTACGCTTGAGGAATCTATTGTATAGCGAAACGGGTGTCGCGGTTTTTTGTAAAACCCTTTATAGTGAAAATCATACAATAAACTGTATAAATTAGTTTTGAACAAGTTATTGTCAAATCCATTATTTTGTTTTTTGAATCAGACTTGGATCATGACACTCCGTTATCCTTGCCAAAATTCGGTTGTGAAATTCAAAATTAATGTTTAAAACTCTTTTGATATTCGAGTAGATGATTGGAAATAGAAAAAGTTTCACCATTTGTATTGAAGGAGTGAATTTTCGAAGGCTCGAAATTTAAGAGTGTGCGTATTATTCACTTGATTTTTGATTTTATTGGAAATTTTATGCTTGCATAGGTGCAATTTTTTAAAAAAATAGTTCATATCTCATAAACGGTCAGAGATAGGTATAGGACATAGTTGATCAAAGTTGTTCACATTGGTTGGCTGAATTGAAAAATTGAATAATATACAAAGTGTTGCGTTTGAAAAAAATCAGTTATGGTCGTTTATCAAAGATACAAATTGAGACGTATTTTTCAGACACTCTGTATAAAATAAGATTTGAGTTCCATTCTGAAATAACAACCACCATATCTTATCTCAATGTTGCCAGAAGTTGAGTTCGATGTATCAGTTGATTAATGCGATATTAAATATTAAAAATACCATGTTTTCGCCAAAAAAAAATACAAAATAATTAATATTTTGAAAACGATGAGAGATAAGTATAGAACATTAACCCTTTTTTTGCTGCGTTTCTATCACTTTCTGAAACTGTTGTTTTTGGAAAATATGTTGCACGCTACTTTACCAAAATAAATATCACCCTATTATTGAAAATATTCAAAGTGAACTGATGAAAAATGTTTTTATCCAAAATCGAGAGGTGCACTATATTGTTTCAGATGAGTTTTTTCTTCTGTTTGTGTCTGAAATCCAAAATTTTTTTCGTGAAATCTACACCTGTTTCCATAGAGTTACCATTGATATATTTTAATTTTACTTCATTTCTTTGGAAGTTTTTCATTCTTTATATATTAATGGAGAAATGGAGAGCCAAAAATGTTTTTTCCAATATAGTTAGTGATTAACTCAATTGATTTTTCCGGAATCAAAAGTTCAAATGATATAATAAATAATACTTTTGATGAAGCGATAAAGCTAAAAGAGATAAAATTTCTGTTACATGGTTGGTTTGGGTAGATTAAGCAAACAAATTATGAAATGTTTTGGTGCACAAAATTGTATTCCTTTTTCCAGGTATCAGAGCTAATGTTGTAGCAATCTATGAACCACCCCAAGAAAGTTCCCGTGATTCTGTTCGTCTCCTTACAGACGAAAAAGAAGAGGTTGTGGATCAAATAGCTGAATCTCTCGGATTAAGGCGAGTTGGGTGGATTTTCACTGACCTTCTACCTGAAGATATTCAAAAAGGTACTGTCAGACATACAAGAAACATCGAAAGTCATTTTTTGTCTGCTCAGGAATGCATAATGGCTGGCTACTATCAAAATATGTATCCCAACTCTTGCAGATATGCCTCTAAAGGAACATTTGGATCCAAATTTGTTACCGTTTGTGTAACTGGTAAGTGTCACTGTATGTTTGGTTGATTTTGTTTATAATTCTAAATGTTAAATTAGGTGATGCAAAAAATCAGGTCCATATGGAGGGCTACCAAGTTTCCAATCAGTGCATGGCTTTGGTAAGAGATAATTGCCTGATTCCAACAAAAGATTGTCCAGAGTTAGGCTACGTTAGGGAATCAACTGACAAGCAGTATGTTCCTGATGTTTACTATAAGGTAAGTGTTTTGCAAATTAACACCCTGCTAAAATATTAGAACGAAAAAATAGTGAAAGCATTTTTTTTGTTTTTGAGGTCACTGGTTTTCTTTTGAAATATTTCAAAATATTCTATAAACTGAATGAGAATAAGTGATTTTTGTGTAATTCAGTGTTTCTATGGAAGTGGTTGTTTTGGAAAGATTTTTTCTTTCGTGAAATTCAATGTTCATGTGAAAGGGCGTTTTGTTCCAGTTTGTATCATAAAAAAACTTGTATGCATGATATATACATTTTTGTAAAGAGTTCATTTTGAATTCAACTAGTTTCTTAAATATACCACATTTAAGATTGAGAAGAAAAGGCCAGAAAGATTTTTTCCCAAAAACCAATCTCTTCTAAAAATATCCCCGTTTCAATTTAATCTTTGGTGATATTTTCATGTATTTACAATCATTTTTCGTCGCCTTTGTAATTGAAAGAAATTGCGTTCCCGATCTAAAATTTGTATATTGGAAAGTATGTTGCTATCAAATTTAAGTAAAGGCAAGATTTTGTATTTGCCCTTACTCTCAATTATTGATGAAGTGTTCACATTAAGAGCAATTAAGTTTCATTCATACTACTCTCTGCTTGTTTTGAATAAAATACCATTTTATTATTAAGTGGCGAATATCTGAAAAATATCAATTCCTTCACCATATTAAAAATTTCTGGTGGGGTAGACTTGTTTTCACTTACTGAGTCCATGTTTTTTGTTAGAAAGTATATTTTTTGAATCGAACTGCCAGTTCAATGGCTAAGTTTGATGTTTGTGAACATATTTGGAGTTGTATTCATAAAATTACTCTCGCCGAAAGAGCAGAGTATGATAATGTGATCAGAAACACATTGCCATCTTAAAATTTTCCACTACTTTATGCCGAATAAAGAAAATTTAATACTATCACAGCTTACTAAAGAGGAAAAGAAATGAGTACTATAAAAAAACTGAGAAATTTAGGAATAAATCTGAGCTAACAAGCAACAAAAAACGTAAAAATGATCAGACTCTCCTCAGTAATAAATGATACCAACCACTTTTTCAATGCCAAGGCGTCAAGTCTATTTGAAGAAAAACTTCCAAGAACATTCAATTTTGTTTGTACAGTACTTTCAAAAGAGAGAAGTATATTTTTCGAACCTACAACAGGAGAATTAGTCAACAAAATGAGCAAGTAAGAAACTAAAAAGAGTTCTGGTACGAGGAAGTTTCGTTTTACTTATTGAAAAAACGTTTGTTCACATTGCACTGCTGCGTGACATCATAAACACACTTCTCTAGAAACAGGAACTCACCCATCTAATGGCAATCAAAGAAAAAAGTTGATCCAGAACCATTTGAAAATTTTTATGTATGATATGGTTAATTTTTTCAAAGCTGATAAACTGTTTAGTAAAAGCCTGTTTAGGCTTCCTTAGTGGCAGAAACGTTGAAACCGCCCTTTTTAACAAACAAATAGAATATACACCTCTCCCGATCAAGGCAATGTAACTTGCAGAATATTTCTGCATTTTTCGAGGAATAAAATGAGCACTATGGTATTTGCTGTGTCCCTCTAAAATAGTTCGATAACTCGACGGGACAGCCTGTACAGTTGAGTGCTCTGGAGGTGTCCATGGGAGTGCCACAAGACAGCATTCTAAGCCTTTGATTTTTTTATAATATTTATTGCTAGCTATGATTGCCAGACAAGAAAATACTATAATAAACCATGTAGATAACAGTGTATTGTTTTTCAGCGAATAATTAAACCCTGAAGTGCTGAATGTCGCAAGCTAAAAGAAACAGAAAACTGGTTTATCAACTCCAGACTCATTCTGGAGTTGATAAACTGCAACGAAACCTGTTTTTCTCAATAATACTGTCAGTAATACCTAGCTCTGATCATGAAAAATTTTAAAAATTCGTTGATTTGTGTAGAGGTTATTGCTCGAATATGACACTTCTCACAATACCAGGTCTTTAAACTTATAAATGCATACAATTTGTTTTCAAGAATCAATACAATTTCATATCTTACATGCTTCATCATTTTTGTGGCACTATACACCCCATTAACTTCAATTTACCCGACCATCATTTATTAAATTCATCAATTCATCAAATGATGAAAATACATTTCGCAACAAATGTCAAATTTAGTATAACGCCGATTTGGTACAAATATCTGTGGTATTTTCTTCAGTACTATATATTTCAAAGTGATTTGTTTCTTAACTACAGTCTAATGAAGTTCATTCAAATGTCAATATGTTTTGATTGCTACTGTTTTCAAAGTTTTCAATCATATTTATTGCACTTTGATTGTCAACACATATTGTGGGTACACCTTTCAAATATAGGTTAGGATAGGTCAAAAGTGAGTTGGACTATTCAACCCTCCACTCCACTCGACCAAATAAACCCAGCTTCTTAATGTATGGTAAGTGGTCTTTCAGGTCAGATGGTAAGAGTATGGCTCTGCCATACCTGTGACCTGTGAGAAGGCCTGTTAGAAATCGTAGTTCATCCCTACTGTAGTCCAACAACTGTTTGGTATCATGCTTCGAAGGCTAAATAACCGCCTTGAAGTGATCCAATCCTGGAAGATTCTGCCAGAAGTTCAAATGTATCAGATTTGTAACTATTGCAGCGCAGGGGATATATTCATCGTCACGAGTTGTCAAAACTTCACTTGCTTATATTCTTTGAAATACTTTTTTGTGGAGGATTCAGTGCTTTTCACTGTCTTTTGAATCTGAAAAATGAATGAGAAAATATAAAGAGAAGACAGATACGAGTATTGGGGACAGCGGATCATATTCTAAAGTCAGCAGGTTATCAAGCAATAAAATGTAGTTAAACAAATATTGTCACCAAGGAACCTCATGTAAAAATGAGGTGTATGAGAGAGCATTTCAAATAGCTCTGTGAAAATGGATTATACCTGGTTGCCTTTACTAAGGCGAGAGATTGAAAACGAAGATATGAACCTAAACTGAATTCCTAGGAAACACCTTGAATGTGTATTCCTGTGGACTATCGAATATGGATATTTCATTCTTTTGATGTGTGTCAAAGGAAATATAGCTGTTTGCAATCGAGGCGTTGTTCAGAAGTGAATATTTTTGGGTTGTGAAAACGTAAAAGGATTATTATCCTAAACGGCAACCATCTGGAAAGAGTAAAGTATAGGAATTTAATTTTTTCCATCTAATATTCAGTTATTCATAACCTATTGGATTTTGGAGCCTATAAGCTTGATTTTCTTAGAGCTGAAAATGAATGAACAAAATTTTGACTTTTTAGAGCTCTGCGAAACAGGACTTGGGAAATTAGAACATTTATCACACAATACATGACTTCCCTTTGTTCATATGAGTGACACTGGACTAATCTGGGGCTAGACACATCAAATTTGACTCATTTGTTTTGAATGGTGTTTTGAACTTCCTGCCGTCTCAAGCACTTACATCGTGCTTCTCATAAATTTGTGAATTTGCAAGATATCGATTTGTCATCCAAATATGCTTATAGCTGGCAATAACACACTAAGAAAAGAACGTCCTGGCCCAATCAGGAACCGAGTTTTTTTGTCAAAAATTTGCCGCACCTTTACTTAGCAACATTAGAGGCTGAAATTGTCACGAAAACTATTGGAATATTTGGGTTTCATTAAATCTTGAACATTTTTGCAAAAAACGCGATTTTAAACAGTGAATATGAGTTTTGAATTTGGTTGGTTATCCTAAAAAATAACCACCGACTTAATTTTCAATTTTTTTAAACTTTACAGAGCTCTCTGTATACTCAAAGTAACAAACTACGTTGACATTGAAAGGTATTTTTTATTAAACATTAAGAAGGCAGCAAATTTATCAGTGTTCTCGAGTTTGGCCGCGCCATAAAACAGGGTTCAGATATAATTAAACTTATCACTGACTCAATTTTGTAAATTTCTTTTAAAAACATTGCTTGCCCCTTTCTGTGTTCATTAATTAAGCAACTATGTTGAGACAAGGAGGTATAATTTTATTCTGGAGCGGTGAATATGACATGCTTAAGGTTCCGGTGATAACACTTACCCCTTGCTTTTCATGTAGACCTACGACTTTGTAGGTCCGTGTGGCAGATATCCGACGGAAATACAACAAGTAACCCACTTATATCATTGTAAAATATGATCAAAGAGATGAATAAAATTATCTATCTATCTATATTTAGAAACCATTTACTTCAGGGTAGTTTCAGATATTTCTGTACTCTCTTTTTTTGTACTATAGATCTCATGACACATTTTCATCAATCCTCTCACCGTTCTGCTTCATAGTTAAATTCTTTTTACACCGAACTCTGGATCTACTTTTGTAAATGTAAATTACTTTCGGATAATATTAATTAGTTGGTCTATGAAATATGTATAATATGCTTAATTATAGTTATTTATTTCGACATTTTGAAAATAAAAAAGATATAATTGTCTTTTCATACTGAACTCATTCACGCTTTTAATGAATATGAATAATGACATTTCTCATTACTGTAATTCTTAAGTTATCCAAACTGAACATGTATGAAACTGTGCTGATTCCAAACCGCTACCTCATAGATAAACCAATAATACTTGATTGTTTTATTGGTTTAATCTACCACTAGCTATCATCCTAATATGTATCAGTTACGTACTATTACGAAGTTTCACCACTGAAAGTACATATTTTTTTACAAACGGAATTTTGATAGTAAAATTATAATGAAACATGGGATTACTGAAAGAAAAACCCGCTCAAAACAAAAACGCACCACTTTTCCTTTCTCACTTGGTACACAAAACCTTCGTAATGGAATTTTAAAGAGATATCAGGTTGGTAGGTAGATACCAAAATGAGTGGGTCTTTTAAGCTATAAGCTTATATGGTGAATAATCTTTCAAGTCAGATGGCAAAAGTGAAACTGCCAAATTCTGAAAATTTGATTCGGTCCGATCCAGAGGAGACT